GTTCGAATCACTCATACCTGTAAATTTCGATAATATTTTTATTCTTCCTAATTCCGATTCCATACTCACGATAACCAAGCCAGAAACCTACGTCTGAATTATTCTGTAAATTTAATAATAAATGAATGCTTTATTTTCATCCTTCCTAATTCAAATTCCATACTTGTAATAGTCAAGCCAGAACCCTCCGTCCGAATCATTTGTACCTGTAAATTTCAATAATAAATGAATGCCTTATTTTCATTATTTTAACTAATTCCATATTCACAATAACCAAGCCAGAATCCTTTATCCAAATCATTCATACCTGTAACTTCGATAATAAATGAATGTCATTTTTCATTCTTCCTAATTCCGATTCCATGCTTGCAATAACCAAACCAGATTATTTTGCGGGTCACTTATATCTACAGATTTTTTTATGATAAAAAAATACTTATTCATCCTAATTGATTCTGTTCAGATCATTTGCCTGCTGATTTGATAAGAACAAAATGCCTTACATTATTTGTAACAATAATCAAGCCAGAATAATCTATCCGGATATTTATACTTGCAAATTTATAGTTAACGAATGCCTTAACTTCATCCTTTTTATCCAAAACACATTCATAAATAATTCATATTTGCTGATTTGAAATGAATAAATATCTATTACATCGTAACCATATTCAAGAAAGAATGTTCTGTTCAACTTATTCATCTTTATTACATTTGTTACAATACTAAACCAGAATATTCTATCTGAATCGTTCATATATCAGATTTTTGATAATGCTGAATGACTTATCTTCATCTTAATATACCCCAATTCCAGTATGATTAGAAGTATTGATTTTACCGAATAATTATAAATAATATTAATTCATCTTTGGCATAATCGGCACATTTTTTTCATAAATCTAAACGTCTGATCCTATGCCAGCGTGAAGTGAAAGTTTTCTAAATTTAACTTCTACAACCGTTGCTAGTAGTCTGATCTGATAAAAAAGTTAAATTTGCATATATAACCTGCTTCATATATATAATTCGTGACCTAATACGAATGATACAAATTTAGTAACACAATATGTATAACTCCCAACAAAATTCAGAATTTCAATATCACCTTTTTAGCATTGTTATAGTATTCCATAAAATAATATTCTAAGACGTATTTATTCCACATATACAATGCTTCAAGCAACAGGGTTTGATTGTTTAATATCATCTTTTCAATATCCTTCGATTGATCTCAGGCATCTAATGAGAAAGAGCGAATTATTATCATGATGCATAGAGTAGAATTCGAAGAACCTGATCTCAGATACATGTATAGCTTACCTTTATAAATCCAGAAAAATCAACAAATGTTAATGTAATTGCGCGAGAGAATATATGACCTGTACTTAAGTTTAATAAACTTATGAGGTAGTGATCCAGTAAAGTCTAAAAGTTTCACGGCTCATAAAAAGATCAGTATTTTTTTTCATAATTAATCATAAAACTATAAAGATATAAATATAATAAAAAAAAAATTAATAACTGCTATATTCCAAATAAGAAATTTAAAATGATCGTTAA